CTGTGTGTGAACTTACAGCAGCAAAACTTCATCCTCCTTTGCTGTGAACCTGGAGCAGCAAAACTTCATCCTCCTTTGCTGTGAACCTGGCCTTTCAGACACGAACTGCACGATCCTGGAAAGACTCTCTGGCCTGGGAAATCCTTAGCTTTCCTCCCCTTTTTTGTTTTTCTTCCCCGCTTCCAGAGATGTCTAGACTAAGGAGTGGCATTTACCTCCTGTGAACAGCACGGAGCATTGCTGGAAGGGCATGGAAGGCTTTTCCTCCAGCCACCCTGCCATCATGGAAGTGTCCTTTTGGGGCTGTGAAAGCCCTTCTGGAGCCTTCATCCTCCTCCAGTGGCCCCTGCCTGTGCCTGAGGGAAGGTGGTGGTGTGCAGGTCCCATCTCCATCCTGCCAACAGGAAAGGACAGGATGTGTCCGTTTGCTGCCATGTCCCTGGACATGGAGTGGAACCTGTCCACTGACTCAACCTGCTTCCACACTTCCTTCTCTCCTTCTGCACTGAGAAGAACAAAAAAGCAAACAGAGAATGGGAAATCAGTGCAAAATCTGAAATGAAGCTAAGTTCCAGCCTCTAGATCATCTCCTTTATCTGCAGCCCATCTCTGTCCAGCCTACATGTTCACCTGTGATATTTTTTTTTTTAATCTCCTTGTATTTCCTTTGTAATTTTTCCAGAAACAGAGAGTGCATCCTAGACTCAGTGAGCCAGATTTTCATGTCACTGTCATCCATGGAGAAGACCAAATATTCACAGACAAGCACCTAACACACGCCCTTTCCAGTATCCCATCTGCAAGCACCAGCCCTGTGGTGTGTGCTGAGTCCTGCAAATGCTGAACTGAAAGGCTCCTTCATGTCCTATCGCTTTCCTCTCCTGGGATGTCAACAGACAACCCACAGTTAGAAATAACTTAATGCTTCTCCCTCCATCAGCCAGGTCTAACAGAGGACAAAGGAAGTGTTCTTCTCTATTCTGTTGCAGTGTCTCAGCTATAAAATGGGGCCAAATGGCCTCCCCCTGAGCACAAATAACAACAGGAGAAAGATCCATATGCAATCGAGTGTGGGATAAATGTGCTTAGCTGATCGTTTGTTTCCCTAATATTTTTTTTATGAATAGGCTTAGCTTATGGTAAGATGGGACTTTATGGTCCTGTAAGTCTTGCTTGTGTCAAAACAAATGAACTAGCCATCCTAGGGGGGAACTATCAATCCAATATATGTGTGTGCATGGGTGTGGGGAATCAGACCTATTATACCTTTAAGAGCAAATTAGATGCTGTTCCTATGATTCATAAAGCTATATATCTAATGGCATGACTCGTCATCTAGAAAATAAACGTTTCGAGCCAGTTTCTCATCTCATAAATTTCCCCTCTGGCACCGAAGGACATAAACTAAATGGGCTGACTCACAGGGAAACAATACAATTTGGATACTTTTAAATGAGAGATAAAATTTCCTTAGGGCACAGAGGGGTGTTGGGGTCCCGGGGAGTGGTTGGCAAGCACAGGACAGTGCATTGGGGGCCACTACCATTCCCAGGGGATCAATCACTCCTGGGGAGTCCTTCATGATTCCAGACCCTCTTGGGTCTGTGAAAACATGACCACCATGATGAAGCATCCAAAATGGAAGTGGTCGAGTTTGAGATGGACTTGTGGAGGTGCTGTCTCCTGGCAGGGAGGAGCCCTCACTGCACGTTCTGAGCATGGCAGGAAAGGACAGGAGATGTGGAGAGCTCAGCCCAAGGCAGGAGGAGAAGGTGGTTTTCAGCCAGCAGAGATCAGGAAGGTCTCTGTGCATTCATTCCCTCCTGAAGCTCTCCCAAAGGCTGCAGCTTCCCATGGGATGGATCTCAGCACCTTCACTGCATCCCTGTCCATCGCTCTTGGTCCTCCTGTGCCACTGGGGTCCTTCTTGGGGGGCAGCTGCCATTCCCTTCTTCTGTGTGATCTTACCCATTTCTGCTCCCCATCAATTTGCTCTCGATGCTTCCCCACTCCTCAACACGCATCCCCAGCACCAATGGGAAAATCTCAGGAGCCACTGTCTCGAAATTCCACTAGAAAGCAAGAAAAGCCGTAGAATCCCAGAATCATTTGGGTTGCAAAAGATCTCCAATACTGAGTCCAACCTTTAACCAATCACCCCCTTGTCACACCACAGCACTAGTGCCTCATTTATTTGTTTCTTGAACACCTCCAGGGATGGGGACTTCACCACCTACTTGAGCATCCCCTTCCAATGCTTGACCACCCTTTCCATGGAGAAATTCCTCCTGATGTCCACCCTGAGCCTCCCCTGGCCCAGCCTGAGCCGTTCCCTCTCCTCCTGTCCCTGTTCCCTGGAGCACAGCCTGACCCCCGGCTGTCCCCTCCTGTCAGGAGCTGTGCAGAGCCACAAGGTCCCCCCTGAGCCTCCTTTTCTCCAGGCTGAGCCCCTTCCCAGCTCCCTCAGCCTCTCCTGGTGCTCCAGCCCCTTCCCCAGCTCCATTCCCTTCCCTGGACATGCTCCAGCCCCTCAATGTCTTTCTTCTCATGAGTGGCCCAGAACTGGACTGGGCACCCAAGGTGTATCCTCACCTATTCCTAGCACAGAGAGACAAGGCAGGGACAAGCCCTGGCTGCCTGGCTCTTGCCTAGCACAGAGGGACAAGGCAGGGACAAGCCCTGGCTGCCTGGCTCTTGCTTAGCACAGAGGGACAAGGCAGGGACAAGCCCTGGCTGCCTGGCTCTTGCCTAGCACAGAGAGACAAGGCAGGGACAAGCCCTGGCTGCCTGGCTCTCCCAGCCTGGCCCTGACACGAGTCAGGACAGAGGCACGAGCCGTCAGGGGCAGCCGTGCTCCCAGTAACCTGGTTAGGGGGTGGAGGTGTGCTCGCCGTAATGAGCACAGCATCCATCCCCTAACCTCGTTTGTGTGAAGGGTGATGCAAGGCAGATGACGGCTGGGCACCTGAAGGATCTAATTAAAACCTATTCAAGGCTGGGCAGAGCAAGGAGGATTGCTCATCCAGCTAGTGCTTAACAGCAGGAAAAAAGAAAAACAAGGAATCGATTACTGGATTTACTAAAGGGCATGGATGGGTGGGTGGGGTTCCTTCCCTAAGTCGGGGATGTGCAGGGAGGAGCTGGGTTAGGGGACAGAGAGGGGGTGTGCAGAGTGACAGGGTTGGGGCTGGGGGACAGTGGAGCAGTGGCAGCAGTGTGACAGTGCAGCTCTTCCCGGCATCACCCACATCTGTCTTCACCCGCAGCGCCTGTCTGTGCACACAGGTACCTCAGCAGAGGGTATTTATCTTGCTTCCTAGGGAGAGCACATGCTTCCCCATCCATCTGCACACATCTTTTGCTCTTCCTTTCCTGCACAGACCCGCTGCTCTCTCTCTGGTGTGTCTGCATCCATTTATCTGGGTGTCAGATAAACTCCTCTCTTCATCCCTCTCTCCAATTACTTTGGATGCCCTTTCCAGCCTAGCACTTCAATTACTTTCTAGAGAACAGAGTAAGATAATGTCACATTTTCTTTCTTTCACCTGTTCGTTCCTTCCTTGGGTTTTTGGGGATTTTTATTTCATTTTTTCCATCTCGAACAGTCCCATTTTGTAAATGCCTGGAAGCAGAAAGTTTTGCAGACACAAGAGCCTTGAGGAGCCTTGTTAAAGGTGCTGGGGGTGTTTGGGGAGAGTGACAAAACCCTGGACAATGGCAGCCCTGATGTCAGGCTCTATTTATACTTCCTCCTTTCAGAAACCTCCCTGGGATGGCGCTTTTCCTAGAGTTTTCTGCTCAGTGCTGCTGCCTGAGCTGTCCCTGTGCTCCTCAAAGGGCACAGATTTATTTCTAGGTGTACCCTTGCAGCACAGACCATATCACCAGGGCCAGGCTTCCACAGGTGACTTCTCATGGGAAGAGCAGTGTTGCCACAAGTAAGGCTGCTTCATGTGGATGAGGACCTGTGCAGATGTTTCAGCTCCCAAATATGCTTCTTGAAAGGTCAAAAGCATTAGAGCTTTGTTCTAGTGGCTGGTGTTTTGGTGTTCTGATTATTTCAGATGGGTGTTGTGGCTTTGCAGGGTTGGGTTGGATGTTGGCTTTGTATGTGTGAAGGAGAGATGTTTTTGAAAATGGAAGTTTAATTACAGGCGAAGGGTAGTGGAGAAACCACCATAAATCCATGTGGTCCAAACTAGAGCAGGGTATGGAGTGAGGGATGCCCCATCCTGCATTATGGGGACTGACACCAAGCACCCTGAGCTGTGGGATGAGCACAGCAGGGACACTGAGGGGTGACACCTGGATGGCTTTGCCAATTCTGACCACGGTTGTTATTCCAGGGATTCATTGGTATTATTAGGAGCAGTCAGGGTAGCTCCTGGGGACATCCTGCAAGTATTTTCCAGGTTTTATTTTTTCCTTGCAGATAGTGCTGTTTTGCTTGTGAGTGTTCCTTAAACAAGTGAATAAAGCAGCAGTTTGCTTGCAGGAGGGCACTTTGTGTGAATAACAAACCTGTGAGAAGGATGGAAGGGGGTCTGTGTTGTTGGGAATTTGGGCATTACTTTATTCTCAGGGGGACAGAAACGGCTGGGCAGAAGGGCACGGGGAGGAGTGGAAGAGCTTCATTGTACACAGCAGCAGTGTGCAGGCACGGTGTGTATTCTGTTCACTCTCACAGAGGGACTTATGCTTGTGCTTCTTCAAGCAGCTCAGTCCTCCGCCACAGGGGATCCCCATCCCCACTCCAAAAGCATTCAGGGATGAACCAGCATCACTCAACACGTGGGAGTTAAACCCAGGGAGGTGAAGGGCCATGCCCGGGGCCATGCAGAGAGGCCGTGGCAAAGCTGGGGAGGACACGCTCCCCCAACCCATCCCACGTTTCCTGATCCCGGGGCTCTGCACACTCCCCCTGATGCTCAGCCCCGAAGCTGTGCCAGATTTCACTGAGTCTTTAGCACACATGTTCACGCTTTTTGTTCTCACATCAGGCCTTCAAAGGAGCCCTGATGAGCTCATACTGGTGCTCTGGGAAAGGTGATGTTATCGAAGACTGGTGCAGGTGCGACCTCAACGCCTTCGATGAGAACGGACTCCCGAACTGCAGCCCTCTCCCTCCGCCTGTGTACGTATCCCTGTGAGCCCTACCAGCCCCTTTCCCGTGGGTCACAGCCCCCAGAACCACCCCATTTCCCAGAGGCTTGGCCCATGGGAACCTCCTCCTGCACCCTTGGGGCTGGGGGCTGCACTCCAGCCCTCCTCACTGTGTGACTGATGTCTTTAGGATATCCTGGCTCTGGCTGTGGCCCTGGAAGGTTTCCTTATAGATTTTCATCACCTGATTAGCAGGGCTTGTAGAATGGGATTTCAAATGCTGAAAGAAATGGAATTACAGTGCAATTCATTGTGGCTTGTCAGAGCAAGAGCAAATCAGGAGCAAACTGATGGGAAATTAGCTGAGAAAGCAGGAAGACTGGCTCCAGCGAGTCACAAGGAGCAGAACACCTTCTTAGTGAGCCAATATCCTCAGAGGGATTCATTTCCCATCTCGAGTCCAGCAAACATGCTGTGTGTTTGGAGCCAGACTCTCCATAGCCCTGTACTTGGTGTTGTCATCTACCCCGGAGCAGAGGGAGTGGACGCCTCTGCTTTAGCACAGCCAGGAGCACAGAGCTCCTCTGCCTTCATCCCAGCCCACGTTGTTCCTGCTCTGGGCAGGAGCTCCTGCACAGCTGCCCTGCTCTGGCTCTCACCCACGCCCCTCAGAGGTTTGCAGCTGGGTGAATTCATGCTGCTTCTCCCCCTCTCTCCCTCCCTCACCTTGGCCATGCAGACCTGACCCTTCCCTCCTGTGGACTCAGCCCTGCTGGTTTTCAAGAACTTGGATCTTCTCCTGTTTTGCTCCTGGGGTGTTGGTCCTTGCTCACCTTGCTGAAGTTCAGCAGCTGTCCCAGACAATGAAGGCCCCTTTAGATGAGATATTTGGGGTTGCATGAGCTTGCCTTCCCCAGGAGCAGGGGGAGGCTCCCAAGGGCACACATTGCAGTAGGCTGGACTCACCTGAGCTTCAGCTTTGCGATGCTCACGTGTGCTCTGCCCCTGTGACCTCTGTCCTCGGGGCTTTGTGGGCACACCCACATGTGTGAATGTGGACCTTTCTAGGGGTTGTGCTGCTTGGAGATGTGGATTCCTCCCCAGAAAGGGAGCTCATGTCTTGTTTTTTCACTCTCTCCCTCCCAGCCTGCGGCTCTCCCCCAACGTGGAGCCCTCCAGCACCGTGGTGTCCCTGGAGTGGCTGGATGTGCAGCCTGCCATCGGGACCAAGGTGTCAGACTACGTCCTGCAGCACAAGAAGGTGGATGAGTACACGGACACAGACCTTTACACAGGTGGGTAACACACAGTGAGGGAGGGCAGCCTCCAGAGGGCTCCTGGCAATGCTTCCTGTGCCCTACTGGCTGGGAGCAGCTGCTTTGGTGGAGAATAGAGCCAAGGTGTAACATAGGTATCAAACCCACTCCATTTAGGAGAGGTTTCTGGAATCTTCTGCAGACATGGCTATTTGAGGGAAAGGGGTATTACAAAAGCACAGTGATGCAGAAGGAAATTATTTACCCTTTTTTGGGCAGGAGAGCTGAGAGTTGGACTTTCTGAAGTGGGTATTGATCTGATCAGTCTGAAATGCCACAGGGTGGTGGTTGTAGGGGGAAGGTCATCCCTCACCAGCTCAAGGGCTTTACTGGTCTGTTCCAGGGAGTGACCAGTGGCCCACCTTTGAAAGGACATTTTCAGCTGTCTTGCACACCTATCAGAGGAACTCCAAACTACAATATTTAGGGAGATCACTTAAAGAGCACAAAATTTCTCCAGGAGAACCTGAAACTTCCCTGGGTTGGAGTTTAGTTCTCAGGCTTGTACTGAGTGCTCTGCACCTTAAAAAGGCTTTGTCAGCAGCTCAATCCATGCTCCAGGAGCTGCTGGACAAGGCAGAGGGCTGTGAAGGATAGGATTTGATTTGGGTGAGTCAATGATGGATTTCAGAAAATAGGACTTGAGACCCTGAGTGATAGCAGTGCTGCAGGGAAAGCCAGGTAGAACCTACTGCTTTTTGCTTGAGGATTTTGGATGTAGTTTTTTTTTAAAGAAGCTCACAAAAGTTGTCAGGGGCAGCTGGGCAGTTGATGAAAGCAGAAATTTACCTGGGACAGGGCTGGTGTTGGAGTGCAGGACCTCACAGTCCACATGCAGACTTGCATGGGCTCCCAGGGCACCCTGTATAGATGTTTAGCTGTGTTTCCCTGTTGGGAAGACAGGCTCAGGAAGATCATTTAGACCTCACAGCCACAGGGAAGTTTCCACCCTCTCTGTTCACCTCAAGACCATCTATTCTGCTTCTGCAGTGTAGATGCCACCGTATCCAAAAATCATGTGCTTCAAGAGCTGGCCTGTCTCTGTCAGAGAGAGCCACATCCCCACCTGCTGGGGGGGTCCAGCTGTTTGTGGAGACCACTGAAAGAAGAATCAGGAGTCTCCACAAGCAGGAGACCTGCAGGAGGTCCCTGGCTCATACACCAGTCCCATCCCTTGGGACCTTTCTCCTACATCTTGCCAGCATCCCCTGCCAAAGCTGCCCAATGTGGCCATGGACTCTGGGTTATGTCTCTGGTTTCACAGCATGGAAGAAGGTTTATTCTTTGTCTTGGAGGGGCACCTTGCAGTAATGGAGAAAGAAAACAAGCCACCAAAGGAGGGGCTTTGGTTTGGATGGGGATTCCAGATTGCTCACCAGTCAGGTGAGGCCAGACCAGGGAAACATGGGGTTTCTCCTTTGAAGTGGCTGGATCTTTGCCTGGCAGCCAGAGTAGGAAATACAGATTATTATTATTATTTTCCTTTTATGACTGCCATGTGTTTGACAGGCAATTGAATTCATTGTGGGGAGCTTCCCTCCCCTCTGCCTGCTCTGGGGGACTGTTTGGGACAGAATGACCCTATTAACAATTAAAGAGAAAAGCCAATCCTAAATCTCTCCCTTTTTTTTTCTGTGTTGTTTATAACCAAACAGCATTTCTGCCTTCATTCCTTTCTTACCCTACAGGCCTCCAATTCCAGATGACTTTAAATACCTTGTGTAGGTATTTGCAGAGGTGCTGACTGCCACAGATCTCTACAGCCAAAAATCCTGTCCTGAATATCCCCTGACCACCATCACCCACCCATCCTGCTGCACCACAGCTTCTCCCCTCTGAGCAGCATCCACAAAAACAATAACTCAGACTCAGAGGGGGAATCGTTGGGAGGGGAGTGTGGGATATGAAATTTGGATGGCTTTTGATGCACATGGGCAGATCTTCCTTCCCCATCAGTCTCCCTGCTGTTGGCAGGGACGAGCAGGTTGTTCCCATAGCTGGGAGGTACATCATAGGTATTTGGAGAGGGGTCCAGCTCTGGGCTGGGAGGATCTGGCAAGGATCTTTTAGGGCTCTTGAGGATGCTACCAGTCATCCCTTGGAACTCTTGAGTTTAAATGAGTGGGTTATTTGTACTTGGACAGTGGTTTTGTTTGCTTTATTGCAGTTGTAGACATTTCTTATTGTGATTCCTGGTACTGACATGGGCTAGAGCTCTGCCAACCTGTTCTTCATTCCTGTGGCAAACTAGGTGGTAGCTGATCCCAGCCTCACCTGCTTGTTGCCTTCCTCCTGCCCCTCAAAATCCTCCAGCCTCTCACCCTTGCAAAACTCCTTGGCCTCCGCCTTGTTCTGCAACTGGAAGATGTAACCATTCCCTTGAGCCAGAAACCATTTTTTCCTCTTCCTCCTGGAGCAGAGTCAGGAGGGAGTTTTGAGACTGGTCTAATGTGGGTCCCCTCTGCTCCCTGCTGGGCTCCACAAGAGACAGGGATGCTGCAGGACAGGGCCAAGGGAGCCGGGAGCCTGCGTGGGTCGGTTGCCCTCAGCTGTATGAGGTTTTTTAAGAGGCTTGTTACTGGTGCTTACAAAAACACAGCCCTTGGCCCATCTGAGGCGGAGAGGAGGTGAACTTGTGTGTGAAACAAACCACGCTTTCAACACCAGCGCGCGGGGAGCGAGCGGCTCCGCGCTCGGGAGCCAGCCGGGAAGACGGAGAGCAATTACATCCCAAACTGTTTATTAAAACTTGTGGAAATTACTCATAACTCCATGTGTGCGACGGCTTTGTAGTTGAGTGATGCTCTTTGTTTGAACGTGGGGCTCTCAGAGAGGGCGTGAGCCACACATGTGTGTGTGTGTGTCTGTGTGTGTGTGTGCAGCCAGCCCGCCAGCGCATTATGTCATGGACCAAGCAGGCGCTGCACTTGAGACAGGGAGAGGGAGAAATGTGTTTTACAGGGTGAGGTACAAACTGAAATGGCTGTGAACATCTGGAACTGATATTAGGCTTGGAAAATGTTTTCTGTCACTCCAGCACTCCTCTGGAGGAAGGTTTCTGAAGTTAAGAAGCTCCAAAGGGGATGAGGGGGAGGGATGAGGGGATAACATGGCTGTGATGCAAAGTGCTTTTCATGTCTCCATTCTGTAAGCCAGGCCGTGTCCCTGCATCTGCCAGACTTATCACCTGGGCTATCACCACTTGTTGTTGTTGTGGCCCTGGCTCTAGGAGGTCCCCTGGACCAGCTAAGCCCCCCTTACCTGAGCCAGCCCTGCATGGGGAGTGCAGCATCTTCCAGCCTGTGCTGGAAGACAGAAGGATCCTTGCCCTGGTTTTAGGGTTGGGAGCTAGGGAGCTAAGCTGGAAGGCCTTGTCTGAAAGCTGAAGGGTGAAATCCTCAGGAGGGAGCAGGCAACATATGCCTGGTTAACACCACTTGGGCTTTCTCTGGTACCCACCAAATGCGCCCACCTGCATTTGGGGAGGCTGCTGTGAGTTTGTGTAATGCAAGGTTTAGAAGTAAAAAAGTGCTTTGAATGTGTTTTTGGAACATTTTGGGGGATGGTTGGGTGAGGAGGAAGGGCTGGGCTTGGCCCTGTGATGGGTTGGGGTTTGTGCATTGGGCTGTGTTGCTCCTGGGGTGGTGGCTGTGTTGTTGCTGTGATGTTGTCTGTCCCTTTCTCAAAGTCCTCTCCCTGGTGCAGTTTTCTTCCCCTTGTGCCCACATCTCTGTTGCTGCTGGGTCTGTGGGGGCTTGGGGGGGCTGCATGTGCCTGCACAGGGCACAGTGAGGAGGGTGGGGAGGGGGTGGTTTGAGGGTATCTCAAAGAACTTTGCTGGTGATAAGTCAGACCTTGCACACTCTGACATAGGAATGTACTCTCCCTTAATCTGCAAATGGAGGGGACAAAACAAGACAAAGGGAGAAAATCCCTTCCCTGAGGTCACAAGAGCTGTGAATTAATCTCAGCATGGGGCAGTGCTCACCTGTGAGGGCAGAGACAGGTGCAGGTCCTGGATCCCCCAGCTTTGTGCCCTGTCCTGTGGTCACTCCTCCATGGACCCTCAAGGCTGACCACTAAGCCAGTCTGCATCCCCCAGTCTTTCACCATCACTGGGATGAACAGCCCTGGATGTGAGCACAGCACAGGCAAGAGCTGTGTCCTTGAGCATGAATCCACCTCTTCCTGCCTGTGCCTCAGTATCAAAGTGGGTTCAGCTGGGGAGATGCAGAGAAGCAAACGTCACTTGCTGTCCCTGTGATTGAGAGTGACAGCGAGTGTGAATGAGGTATTGTCCCGATGCACTGCTGGCTCTGTGCTGCTGATGGCAAATTACAGAAAGATTAGGAGGCTCTGCCCCTCTCCCAGCCCTTCATCTTCTCTCCTGCTCTGTGCTGGCTCCCAGACTGTGGTTTTGCCCCTTTTCTGTGGTACTTCACAGCTGGGTGTGTGCTGACAGCTGAATCGGGGGAGCTGGGGATGTTGTGGTGCTTTGGCTGAACAAAGTATACAACAAACAGGTAAACAGCTCACCTGCTTCTGGTTTGGGATGCCATGTCCAAGCAGGACAGGTGAGGTCTCAGCAGAGACTCCTAGGCTTTAACTCTGAGGATGTCAAGGGATCCTGGCTGCTCTGGGGTCTTTTTGCCAGGACAGTGACCATGTTCGTAAGAAGTAGCCCTCTTCCAGAACAGCTTGCAATCCTCAAAGAAAGGAGAACAGGAACACAGCCTGCTGAGTGAGCTTGTTGGAGACCTCAGAGCAGGAGAATGCAAAGTCTGGCTGCTGGCTCAGAGCCTTCTGCTGTGCTGGGACCCTCGAGACACAGGCCAGTGGTGTGGAGCAGAACCAGCAGGTAACCTGGGAGGGTGTCTGGACACCAGACAGGGCAGGAAGACGTGCAGGAGTGGAGAGAATGGTTCTATAAAACCTGTGCACATCACCATGCTGGCATTACAGGCTGCTCTGGAGCAGAG